CAGACAGACAGACAGATAGATAGATGAGAGAGAGATGATAGATAGATGTTAGCCAGCTAGTTATGATGGTGGTATTGTCCCGGGTTCATATAATCCCCTTTTGAAACCTTCTGGCAAGCAAAGTCAATGGGAAAGCCAGATTCACTTAACAATCGTGTTACTAATTTAAGAACTGCAGCGATTGACTCAACAGTGGTAAGAAAGGGTGTAAAATGGGGCAAAACTCACCTAGCAACTGTCTCGCTTAACAACAGAAATGTTGGACTCCATTGTGGCCGTAATGTCAAGGACTCCCTGTGCCTGTTTTGGAAAATGTAGTTCTGAGAACATGCAAAGCATCGGAGAAACAGTTCCTATAAAACCTCGCTCCAGGGAGGCAAAAGTAGGATTTACAACTATTTTAGTAATTTTCAGCCTTTAGAGAGAATGAAAGCTCTTGGTGTACATTATTACCTCAACTCTAGCAGGCAAGTAATGTCAACAAATTATGCCAGCCACCTCAATCTTAAAGAGAAAAAAAACGTTGCTTTTGGCATCCATACACAGGCATGGATTTCTTTATTTTTTATGTCTTGTTTTCAATTTCAATTTCCTACCAGTACGAAATATTATTGCCTAACCTCTGTGAAAGAGGAATGTATCTTTAAAGGTCGAAAAAAGGAGAGATTATCTCTTCAAAGTCTTTTTTTTCTTTCTCTCTACCTCTGCAAATTTTGCAACCGACCGTGTCAACTCATAAAACATTTCTATGCCCGTTTTATAGTTGCCAATAGAAAGGTGGGGGGGAGAAGGCGTTTGGAAGAGCAGTGCAACAGTACATTCCATATTTTTTCAGAGGTTGTAACTAGGCGACTGAAGTTTCTGCCACAATTGGAGAACATAGATGAGGGAATAGAAGGGGAACTTACCAAATTTGCAGATGACACTAAGCTGGCAGGAATAGCTAACACCCAAGAAGATAGGCTCAAGATCCATCTGGATCTTGACAGACTGGAACACTGGGCCGTATCTAACAAAATGAAATTCAAATGTAGAAAAAAGTAAAGTCCTACATTTAGGCAAGAAAAAACAAAAGTACACATATAGCCTGGGTGAAACCTCAATAGCAGGAACTGGGAGTCTTAGTGGACAACCAGCTAAATATGAGCCAGCAGTGTGCAGCAGCCGCCAAAAAAACTAATGCAACCCTAAGTGGCATTAACAGAGGGACACAATTGAGATCAAGGGAGGTACTAATACCACTCTATAAAGCCTTAGTAAGACCACACCTAGAGTATTGGATCCAGTTTTGGTCACCACACTATAGAAAAGATGTTGAAACTCTAGAAAAAATACAGAGAAGAGCAACCAGGATGATTCGGGGATTGGAGACTAAAACATGAAGAACGGTTCCAGGAACTGGGCGTGGCTGGTCTAGTGAAGAGAAGAACCAGGGGAGACAGGATAGTCTTCCAATATTTGAGAGGCTGCCACAGAGAGGAGGAGGGGGTCAAGCTATTTTCTAAAGCCCCTGAAGGCCAGACAAGGAATAATGGATGGAAACTGAACAAGGAGAGATTCAACCTGGAAATAAGGAGGAATTTTCTGACATTTATAGGACCTTCATTGGCAAAATGTTGGGTGTGGGTTGTTTTTTAAGATACAAACAGGCAGTTTACAAAATGTTCTGCATATTGTGTCAAGGTTCCTCGTTTTGATTTCGGCATTTGAAACAATGCCGTTTCGATTTTCTAATCAATAAAGCCAATTCTGAACAGTTGGAAGATTTTATGGGAGAACATAACTAACTGCATGGAAAATCCTTTGATTAAAAGAAACGATGCGAGTTAATAAAAGCTGTTTCAGTATTCGATCTGTCACACCTATTATTAATACCAAAACCGTTTCAAGCCAATGATGCAATGTATAATGTTTATTTGAGAAGTCCCACTTTCAAATAAGTATTAAAAGCTCATTTAGTTAGTAAAACATTGATGAAAAAATAGGAAAATTGAGTTAGTGTGCTACATGATTACATGTTTCTTAATAAACATGCTTATGATTTGTTAAGAGTTTTGTTTAAAAATCTGAATTGTTTTCCTTTGCAGCACCTGGATCACAAGCAGAAATGGTAAGATTTTTTCCTAATAGATTAATTTGCAGATTAATGGATTAAAATGTAATTGTAGTTCCCTTTAAAATAGCTTCCTTTAAAATAGCTTTTCCTTGGCCTATGTGAAATTTATCTTTTTTTTAAAGTAAGATGTATCCTGTAGTTCTGTGACAGTGTGACAATAACTGTGTGTTATTTTTCAATGACACAGTGATAAATATTATCTGCTGTGCAAAACTGTAATATACAGAGAACCAGTTTTCTCTGGCGGTTAAGGCACCAGGCTAGAAATTAAGATTATAAACACTAGTCCCACCTTAGGCAGGAAAGCCAGCTGGGTGAATTATTGAATTATGTATAGAAAAGAATAAAGGTGGGATAAAAATAAATAAACAAAATTAAATACAAAAATATTGTCTCTCTATCACTCTATATCTATATCTATCTTTCCCTCTCTCTGTGGGTTTTTAAGTATTTTATTTAACTTTTTAATTCAATTCTATGATTGCTTTTTTTTTTAATCTAAGAGATATTCTGAATGTTCATCTGTCCTGCAATGTAAAATATATATATATAATCATGCTTGACTTAAAACTGTCATTGTTTTTAACTGTTCAATGTATTTTCCTTACAATGATGTCCCTCGTGTTTCTGTAACCCCAGGAGTGGCCATCTAAGATCAAGTAAGTTTTGTGGTTAATGATGTCAGTATTGATATAGTGCATTTTATATAAAAAAATAAGTGAACATTTCTCACGGTGCCTGTTAATTCTTAGGTGCCTGTTGGTGAATGGTGCTCAACCAACCGTATCATTCTCAGCCAGGTGAAGGACTTCTGTGAAGTAGCTTTGCCAATTTCCTCCTGTTTTGTCAGTGAAGGGCAGCCCTGCCCTAAATATCAACAGGACATTTTTTTCCATTATTATTATTTTTGGACATCCTTCCTCTATCTTTTCTTTTGTGTATACTAAGAGTGTTTACACCAAGATAAATTCCTTCTGTGTCCAACCACACCTGGCCAATAAAGAATTCTATTCTATTTCTATTCTATTTCTATTCTATTTCTAATTCTATTCTATTCTATTCTATTCTATTCTATTCCATTCCATTCCATTCCATTCCATTCCATTCTATTCCACTCCATTCCATTCCATTCCATTCATTTCCCTTTCCTGTTCTATTCTGCTGCCTTTTCCACACTGCCTTTGACTTCAACTCTTCCTTCAAACCCTAATATGCTGAATTTTCCTCCCCTCTTTTTTTCTTCCTTGTTTACTGTCTATTCTGGATGGTAAGATCCCAGTTCCCTCCCTGCTGCCTGTGATGTTTTAGCATTGCTTCTATCATGGTGGGTGGGGCTAGTCACCAGCTCTCCTGTTACTACAAGCAGCCCTTTGAGGCAGCCCCAAAGAAGCATTAGCATGCCAGCCTAGCTTTCTTTGATTATGATGTGAGAAGTCTCCTCAGCATATTGTGCAATTAGAAACACTTGTCCCAAAGGTACAACTGCACATTCTTTCTGGTTTTTGGATTCTTGGATGAGAAGTGGAACGTCTTCAAAAGAAAAACCAGAAAGTCTTGGAAAAAAAGCACCTTTGGGACAACCAGGACCTGGAGGACTGAGAAGCTCAATGGACATTCCTTTGAAAATGTTTTGCTTCTCATCCAAGAAGCTTCTTCCGTTCTTCAGGACTGAAGAAGCTTCTTGGATGAGAAGCAAAATGTCTTCAAGGAAAAACCAAGGACATCCAGTTGCCTCTTAAAAAAAACCCACCTTTGAGACAACCATTGACCTGCAGGACTGAGACTCTCCATAGACTTGAGTTCTTTGTTTCTAAGGATGTCCATCATCCTTAAAGGTGTTTTAAGCCCAATGCTTTTCTTTGCATTCTTTGCATCCTTTTTTTTTTTTAAAGTAACATTTTTCTAAAAAGTCAAATAGATGCCAGAAAATACATCTTCGAGCACTTAGAGACTATTTGTGTTCACTGAAAACTCAAGGTCTGGTGTATAAAAACCCTGTTGTGTTCACTGGCTTGAAAATAAGTGCTTTTAACAGCGATTGCCAATCTGTGTGTCTCTCATGGAAACTTGTTCATCATAGACAATTTTGCAGCTCTTGTTCTTTTCAACCATAAACAGAAAGCTTGGCCCTTACAACTCAAAGAGCAGATCCCGAGATACTTTAAGTCCTTGCAACACATCAGTGAGGAGGTTTCCTCCACTTTTCCCCGTTTGTCTGGATAGACTTTATTTTTAATGCATGTGGTGGTATTGATCACAGGAGGCTCCCCAGCTTCCTTTGGGGTCTCAAAAGATTTGACAAGCTGTGCTCCCCATCTTTCTCCTTGAGCACCATGTCAGATCCTGAAGATAGCTTTCTGTAATGCCTCTCAGTCATGCTAAGGAGATCTTGCAGTCCACATTCCTAAAATCGATAACCAGCCAAATGGTTAACAATAGAATGGAATGGAATGGAATGGAATAGCAGAGTTGGAATGGACCTTGTAGATCATTTAATTCAATCCTCTGTTCAATCAGGAGACGCTATACCATTTCTGACAGCTGTATTACAAAATTACCCAGATGGTAATAACAGGACTATAACAGGAAGAAAAAGCCAATGAGAATGGGGGTTTCCAAGAGATGAGATTTTGTGTGGTGTTAATGGAAAAGAGAAATCCAGGTACTTACCAAGAGAAAAACAGGACAAGGAAACAGATGTTACGCTACAATAACAGGGGTGTTACGTAGCTGGATACGTAGTTGGATAGATTGTGAACCCAGGAAAGGGGCAGAGACTGTATATTTGAACCTGTATATTATCCCCAGCCCTCCTGGGGGAAAATGTTTTCTGCCCGCGGGCAGAATTCCCTTTTGCAAAAGCTTCATCATAAAGCTCTTATATATTGTTTACGTGTCTGCAGTATTCAGTTGTCTGAATACCTGTGTCAGAGCTCCAACAAATCCACCTTCATTTAAATCAAAAGTCTCTAGCCGCATCTCAAAAACAGTAAATTGGTTTGTTTGAAATTGCCATGTTGGCGCGTGGCTGGGTGCAGCCGATACTAAATCGCATCATACATTTCCCCCTTGACCCCCTGGTCTTTCCCCCACCGCTAGATGTGACTTCTCCAGTGGGACGTATCAGTCTCCAAGAGTCATCCATCATGCTCTCCAATAACCTTCTTACGCTCCGACAACTTTGGGCTGCCAAGGTGATTATCTAGGCATTTCAAGAATGCCTTGTTTTCCCCCACTCTGTTTTTCTGGCAGCTAAAAAGACCAAAGGAGCATCTTTTTAGTTGACAACCTGAATGGTTGATTTTTATCACACTTCGGGTGTTGAATTAAATCATCTTATGGATTAGGACAATATATAAAGTAGTGAACAAAGTACTGTTGTCTTACACAGTCAGGAAATGAAAAATAAAATGTAAGCTTGTTAATTGTTAATAGCAGCATTCCAGTATCTGAGGGGCTGCCCCAAAGAAGAGAGGGGGTCAACTTATTCTCCAAAGCACCTGAGAGCTGGACAAGAAGCAATGGGTGGAAACTAATCAAGGAGAGAAGCAACCTAGAACTAAGGAGAAATTTCCTGACAGTTAGAACAATTAGTCCGTGAAACAGCTTCCTTCCAGAAGTTGTGGATGCTCCAACACTGGAAGATTTTAAGAGACTGAGCAACCATTTTTCAGAAATGGTATAGAGCAGGGGTCTCAAACTCAAAGCCTGCATGCCACATCCGGCCTGTGGGGTGCTTAAATCTGGCCTGCGGTGCCTCTACTGGCCAAAATGGGCTGGGGGGGGGGCAGCCACACGGGCCATTTTCAGCCCCCATGGCCTCTGACAGCAATCTGGCAACCAAAAATGGGTCATGGGGGGGTGTTTTCGGCCTGTTTTTGACTCCCACAGCCTCCTATAGCAGTCTGGCAGCCCAAAACGGACCGTCGGGGAGGGGGGCACACAGGGCCGTTTTTGGCCTCCTCCCGGGCATTTAAGCAAGAAAGACCCTCGACTCCATTTGTAGCAAAAGGTACACTTTTACTAAAGCCAAGTGGTTACAGCGTAAACAAAGCTGGATCTGAATATCCCCCACGCAAAGCCTGCCTTGGAATAGCAGAGTTGGAAGGGACCTTGGAGGTCTCTCTAGTCCAGGGTTCGCCAACCTTTTGGACCTCAGGGACCACCAAACTCATAATTTTAAATCCCACGGACCAGAGACCATGGGAAAATCCTCCAAAATAGCCTGCAGGGAAATCCCCCATCCCGTTTCCCTACCGATCGATTGTTGTTTATGTGGGATCACAGGATACCGTCTCCAGCTTCGTTCTGAGGGGGAGAGAGAGAGAGAGACTTTTGGCTCCATGCATGGAAAGCAGCAGAAGCAGCAGAAGTCTTTCTTTCTCTCCCCCAAACTCTGCTAGAAATGAGTCTTTGTGAGACTTGTCATGCCAGTGCAGCCTCTTGGAGAAGGAGGCCTTGCAGGGTCCCAAAGACTCATTTCTGGTGGAGTTTGGGGGAGAGAAAGAAAGACTTCTGCTGCTTTTATTGCATGCATCCAAAAGCAGCAGAAGAAGGAAGCGGAAATGAGCAGCCCGGTGGCCAGGCCAGGTGCGTGGGGCGAATGGGGCAAGTTGCCCCCTTTCCCCCCTCCCCTCACTACCACAAGCCTTGTGTTCCTGCGGGCCATGTGGGTGGCTCAGCCTTGTGTTCCCACACAGCCTGGATTAATTGCTTTGTGGGGGAAATTTCTCTGTGGACCACCAAAATTTTCTCGCAGACCACCAGTGATCCCCAGGCCACTGGTTGGCGACCACTGTTCTAGTCCAACCCCTGCTCAAGCAGGAGACCCTATACTATTTCAGACAAATGGTTATCCAACATATTTTTTAAAAAGGCCCAGTCTTTTTCTCCTTCTCCTGAGCCCTCCTCCCACTCCCCCCCACAGGGCATAGCATATGACATAATAGTATTCAGATTTGGTGTTTTGCTTAATAGGCTCGACAAGAGGTTTGTTCGCTGGCATCCCCTCCGTGCAGGCTCTTTCCTTGAGTTTGCTTCGTTTTATTTTAAACCACAACTAGGATTCTCCAGGGCAGGGATTAACAACTCTTGATACAAGGTATTTCTACCTTTTAATGCGTGGCTGATTAGCCCGATAATACGCACTCCAATTTGGGAGCCACAAAGGAGTCGGAATTCATTACTATTAACCTTTGGGGTCAGCTTGGCTAATGTAGTCTTGATTCCATCTATTTTTCATCCAATCTGCTCAGTATCAGTCAGTGCAGGGATGCATCTCGTTAAAAATAGTCCTTCCTCCAGAATGATAAAATGATTGCTCCGTTGAGTTAAAAGAATTCGCCCTTCCTTGCCCCCTTTTTTCCCCCCATAAGAGCTGAACAACCATTACCCCTTTGCTTGGCCTCAGTTTCTTTGAATAGACTTTGATTGTGTCCTAAAATGTCACTGAAGAATAAAATCAGTACCAGGCTCGTACCAAGTATTCCAGCCACTTTACTTCTTATTGGAGGGGGGGGGGGGAACCCTTCTTGCCCAGAACAGAAAGAACAGACTGGGGAGGAACCTTTCAGGTGTTCTAGTTCAACCCTAGCAGGAGACTCTGGTTGTCTAATCTCTTCTTGAAAACTTCCAGGGATGGAGCACAACTTTTGGAGGCCAGCTGTTCCCCTGATGGATTGTTCTTACTGTCGGAAAATTTCTCCTTATTTCTAGGTTGCTTCTGCCAAGTATGATTGGATTGCTTATTGTACCTGATGACTATCATTAAGTGTTGTACCTTCTGATTCTTGACTCTTGACGAGTGTATCTTTTCTTTTAGGTACCCTGAGAGCATTTGCACCAAGAAAAGTTCCTTGAGTGTCCAATCACACTTGGCCAATAAAAGAATTCTGTTCTATTCTCTCCTTGATTAGTTTCCATCCATTGCTTCTAGATGGATGGATGGATGGATGGATGGATGGATGGATGGATGGATGGATGGATAGATAGATAGATAGATAGATAGATAGATAGATAGATAGATAGAT